TACTGTTTTACATGTGCTGACATTGTATGGTATGGTGATCTGGATGGTATATCGTAAGCTGACGAAGGTCCTTGTGCTGACATGGAAGGTATGTCGTAAGCTGACTTGATTGATCGTTTCGACAAGGAAGGTATATCATATGCTGGCATAAATGTTATGCTGACATGGAATGCATACACAGGGCCAAATGAGACCGCTGCATCTAATGCTGACTCAAGTTCAAGCGACAATGCGGATGGTATTATGAATGTTGACATTCAAAACGTATATGGTAAATTGATAATGATGGTTCTGTGGTACGTAACTGTAGAATCTAAACGGAATGCGGACGAGGACAGCCCAGCCACAGTAACCCGCCGACTTGATCCTGATTACGTTGATTCTTCGGACAGTGATGCTTCGTTTGGAAGTGCTGGTGTGACACTTTGTACGGGGTCAACAACCGAAAGTGAATCAACTGCAACCTCTGCTGTTACTGTAGCCAATAGCGCTGACATGGACCCGAACTTTGTGTTGGAAGATTCGTCAGCATTCCTGGATTCAGATGGAGGAAGTGGTGATGAGCTGAGTGCTCAGGATGAGTATTCAGATCCGTTCGGGAGTTCTGACTCGGATAGTGGCGAGGATGATGAAGGCATCGAGATGAGCATTGACTCGGAACTGCAACACGTCAAGAGTTTTTTTTTAGTGTTGAGAAGCAGGAGCGGCTGCACTTACGCGTACAAGGTAGAATTACATCTTCATAATCGATGTTGCAATGTTGATCGAGTCAGCTTACGTCTTGAATGTTATGCTGACAGAGTCATCACCGCTTTACGACAGCACGCGGCTCTCTCCGATGGCGTATAATGGGTGGCGAGTGCTTCCTGACAACGGCATTACGACCGTAGAAGGCAATGACAAAGTCGATTCAATGTATGATGGGTATTGCGGACCGTCGTGTGATGCTGCGGCGTGTGGTGTCTCCCCAGGTTCGCTGTTCTACTACTTTCTTCCAAAAGATTTGTGGCGACATATTGCTAGTGAGTCTAATCGATACTGGCGACAAACACTTGAATCGCGCGTCGAAGAAGCGTACGCGAAGGAGCAAATGGTAACGCACAGGCAACAGAAAACGAAGGAACAGGTGCGAAAGCGACTACTGCGTTTCAAGCCTATTCAACCTCATGAAATTATTCGTTGGCTCGGGCTAATGATTGCACATGCACTGAGTCCAATGAAACGAATGGAGATGCACTGGGCGACGAAAGCATGCGGTGTGATCCCGTCGGGAACATTTGGATCTGTCATGGGGCGAGATCGGTTTCGAGAAATTTCGCGCTTTTTGCATCTGTCTGACAATGAGGCGCCTGATGCGCGGCGAGATCATGCGTGGAAAATCCACCCAATTCTTTCCACACTGGAGACTACGTTCAAGGTGGGTTACACACTTGGGCAGTTTGTCTCTGTAGATGAAGGGATGCTTCCATCCCATAATCGACGGAATTCTACGCGAACATACATGAAAGATAAGCCACACAAGTGGGGATCAAAGTGTGTTTTGACGTGCTGTGCGGTTTCGGGCTATTGTAAACGGTAAGCTGACATGGATGGATTATAATACTCTTGGTATGCTGACAAAATTGTTTTGTTTGTTTTTGAAGCGTCGAGCTCGATGTAGGCAGGAAGGAAAC